TAAGTGGCATGACTGGGAGCCTACAATCCCTTGATGTTTCACTTAAGCAACCAATAAAGTACTCTTTGAAGGAATATTAGTCCTGGCAGTTGTCTGAACACTTTCCCTGAACATTTTCTTACAAGATCAAAAGAGTGTCAGCATTACAACTTTCAGATTAGGTATTGGGGCCTGGGGGAAATTCCCTGAGACAATAATGAAGGACTTATTCTTTTTGCTTTGTAAGAAATGCAGCTTCACTAATACTCAACTTGGCCCCAGAGAATAGAAATGCATAGAAAAAGATAGACAACTTTTTTTTAAATATTTACAGACAACTTTTGAGTCAAAAAGTGACTCAGGGGACTGAGGATATAGCTCAGTTGGTAGAGTGCTTACCTCACATGCACAAGAACCTGGGTTCAAACCCCAGCACCACAAAAAAAAAAAAAAAAGGAAACTCAGAAGTGTCAGATTCAAAATGAAGAACTTAGACTAACATAATGCTATTCAGTTATGTTTGTGTACACAGTAGGGATATTTTCAAAGTTCTATTTCTAAATAAGTCTAAAAGAACTTTTTAAATTAAAAAAAAACTTTAAAATACATGGTAAGAAAGCATATTTACTTGGTGGTATTTTTTCCCTTTCTTAGAAGTACTAAAATAGTGATGTGCCTTACAAGCAATGATGCCTAAAAGTCAAAATAAGGCAGATACTTCAAAGACCATAAACATGAGAGAGAGAAGTTTCAACTATCAAGATACTCATAATCTGGAAGAAGGGACAATTAAAGTATTTAAAGAATAATAAAAGTAAGACAAAATATGCTTATTGTTCCCAAAATAGGTACACACACAAAAAAAGATCTTGTCATTTAAAGGAGGCATTTAAAGGGTTTGTTGAAGGGCCTCGAAGAATGGATAGGATTCCAACAGGATAGAGTAGGAAAGAAAGAAAGAAATGGAAGAACCAGATACAGAAAAATGAGGAATTTTATCATATTTTTACTACAGGGTCTGCCACCCTTTTTGGTTTTGCAGCCCTCTTTAAGAATTTCATGAAAACTATTAACCCAGTTCCTAGAATTAAAAGTACAAACTCACAATCAAAAAGCTTCATATACTATTTCTGAGGATTTCTCATTTACATCATAATAGAGAGGAAAGGAACAAGGGAAGGTGGAGGGATAAGGAATCTTCTGGACACTTTTCTGGAAGCTGACAGAAGTGACCATGGTTACAGAAGTCCCTTCTCTGGAGAAGAAATTGGCATCTGCCTGCACTTGAGAAAAGCGTCTGAGAGAAATGGAACCAGGGGCCTGAGGGACTCATCCAAAATGTTCGTTTAGGAATTAACGGAGTTGGAATATCCTTAGGCATCGTTTACAGCTCTGACTTTGATCATATGGGCTTCTGATCTGATGGAATAGCATCTAGAAAATATAGCTGGGAAATTAAATATATGGGATGGGGAGTATGCCAAGGTCTTATTAGGGAGGACCTTGACTTCCCCCACCACACACACACACACACACACACCAGATCTTATACTTAATTCAGGGAGTCCTGGGGACATGATACAGACTGCAGAGAATGAATGAATATTCAGAGCTCTGGTTTAGGAAGATGAATCTTTGAATCAGAGTTGTGAGAGAGGCTGTGGGAAAGCAGCTAGGCGTTTATTGCAGTTGTTATAGTCTTCAAATGAATTCTGTTTATTCTATTTCCTGGTCTCTCCTCACTACCCACCATTTGGCAGAGAGCCAGGCCTTTAGTAGGCATTTGATAGTGCCTGCTGAAGTGAAAGTCATAAATTCCCTTTGAGGCTCTCCTTGTAATGTCTCTATTCCTCGACAGGTGGCACCATTACAGCATTATTTACAGAGCAGGGTTCCTTCCATAAGCAGAAGGGCTTCCAAGCAGAAAAAGCTGAAATTTTTTTTTTTTTTGTGTGTGTGTGTGTGTGTGATTCTGAAGGAATTCACCTTCTGAGAACAATCTAGAAGTGGGTAGTGAGGGATAGCAAGAATCAGAGAGTGAAGAACACTGCTTTTGTGCTTCTATCATTTCTTACTGTAGCAAGATATCTTGGCTGAATTTCTACTTCTAAGCATGTAGACGAGGAAAGATGCTTTTAAAAGCCTGCCTTTCAAAGCAAGCAATTTTATATCTTTCAAGAAGTATACACTTAAATGTATGTGAGGAATAACTGTTGCTTAGTTCTGCAACTAAGGTGAGCTCTTTCCTTACATGTATCAAGCAGAGATTATAATCTGTGGTGATGCCAGTCGGCATTTTAGGAAAATAATAAATTCTCTAAGTGCTTTTAGAAAATTAGATGTTTTTGTTTGTTTGGTTGGTTGGTTGGTTGGTTGGTTGCTTGTACAAGACTATAGTTGTAGCTTGAAATTGTACTTTTTTTTTTCATTTTAAGATTAAGAGCTAAACCCTGAGAGATACTCTTTATACCAGTGGGAGATGGGAGTGCCAGAAACTAAGAGTTGTGATGAGTTACATGCAGTGCTGTGTTGGGCCTAGACATGAAGTAGAACATGAAGCCACGGAGGAGACCATCTCCTCACTTCTTATACATACGCATTGCTCTGCAGACTTGGAAGCAACTGGAAACAGGATTTTTAGTACATGATAGGTGTCAGTATAATTTGAATTCGTTGAATAGTTGACGAGTAATAAGATTTATATGAAGATTTCCAGTTCAGCGTGGGAAATATTCTGGAGGTTCCAGAAGACAAAAATTCCAGGAGTACTAGGTGAAGTAGGGTCATTTCTTCTTTAGTTATTTTTCAAGTTAAAAAGTCTCATTACTATTTAGCTCGGTGATTCTTACATTTTACTTAATTCTTACATTTTAAAGATTAGGTTGGGGCAATGGACCTTCTTTCTGAAGAATGAAGATCCTTGCACAGTTTTGCATTTGATTTCAAAGGGTTGCAGCCTCCTGGGTTCCAAAAGTAACCCCTGTCCACTAATTGGGAGCATTCCAAAGAGAAAATGTAAGAGGTTAGTGGGGAATAGGGAGGACAGAAGATGTGTGGGACCAATCTGTACTGGATCCCAGTGGGATATTGATGCAGGCAACTGAAGAAAGCAAAAGAATTCCCTTTTCCAGAAATATTTTTTTTTAAATGTACCTAAATTGGGGGAAGTAGAGAACTTTGAGAAGGCCTTAATATAAGGAACTGGTGACACATTTAAAAACAGTGGGCACAGGAAGAGTCAAAGGTTAAAGAACTCAACCAACTATCTACATATGTTAAAGCACTAAGCAGCCTTTGGAATTCACGTCAACAAATGGACACTCTGAGCTACAGGGAACAGGAAAGGATCCCAAAGATATAGCTGTGTCAGGGGATACCTGGAAGCACTGGCTTCTTCTTCTCAGGGTGCAGGTCCAGAAAGTCATCTTCTTAGTGCTACTAGGGTATTTATCACCCACTGGACTCTGAGAAGGGTCACTAACTAAACTCTTAACTGCAGTTGCTTGTTCAAACCCAAAAGATGAAAAGTGACAAAATTAAGGTTAATTCCTTTTAGGCTCTGGAGTAGGAACTTAGGGATCTCCTTTGCTAAAGATCCAAATAAGAGAACAATTAGCTGAGTGGCTCTTTAAATCAGACAGACAGGTTTAAATCCTGGCTCTGCCAAGTACCAGTCTATGACCTTGAGCAAGTTTTAAGTCTGTTTCTAAAGTGTAATGCAAAATAATAATATTGCCTACTTTATAGGCTTGTTGGGAGATAAAAATTGGGTACAGTATCTGGCATACAGTAAGTCCTCAATAAATGATAGCTATTATTGCCATTAGTGCTGAATGCTGGAACTGTAACAGGAATCTATATCTCCTAGTCCCTAGAGTCCCCAAACACACTTCCCAACCACTTTATATAACTCAAGGCTTCCTCTGGCCATCCTGTGCAAACAGGACTAGCCCTCAAGACCTTTTGGGCTACAGCTACATGATATTTAAGCTTGGGAATCTCACCATAGCCCTTTCCTTCACTCTATCCTGAAGGATAAGGGTTCTTTATAGTGAAAAGATTCTATTAGGAGTGTCTAGAACCTTCCCTAGGTAGTTTTGTTTTTTTCCTAGAGGAGTCAGTCACCCTTACCCCCTCCCCACCAATCACAAGAGAACAATGAGGAAACTAATGTTTGCACAAGACTTCCTAGAGGTTGTATATATTGTTCTCCCCAACAACTTTTATTCCCATTTTATATATTCAGAAACTAAGTCGCAAGCAGTCAATTCAGTGTTGGAACAGAAATTCAAGCCCAGATCTGTGCCTTCGGTGCTCTTTCTACTTCTGCAAGAAGCAACAGTAGGTGTATGCATACACACACACACACACACACACACACACACACACCACCCCAGCTCAAGCAGCTCTCAATTTTGTTCTAGGGCAGCCTCGGGAAATCTCTGTTGCCCAAGGGAACAGCCTAGAACTAATGTCAGGTGAAGCTCTCTCAGGGGAATCACCTTACCGGCATCCTCCACTAGAGGCCTGAGGCAGTTATTGTGATTCCCTTTATAATGTGTCACTCCTGGGCAATCCCTCCAGAACAATACCCCCCACCTCATCTCTTCCATGGAACAGGTGTCATGCCTGCCATTCCAGAACTCAGACGCAGAAATCATCTCCCAGGGGGGAGATTCTTTGCTGAAAAGAAGTCGCTTGCACATGTGGAGTGCTGACTATAAAACCGTTGTTAGTTTGGGAATCTGAACATACACCCCCCTTTCTTCCCCCCATCTCACCCCCTATACACCCCTCCACCCCCGTCCAGGTTTAGATTAAGGTCTAAGGCAGAAGGGAAAGCAGCAGAGTTGGTGATGCCTGTCCCAACTAGGCAGGGACAGTCAACTCCCCGGAACTGGGAGGCAAGGAGAGAGGAGGGAAGGCATGGTCCCTACATTTCCCACTAAGCCCTAGTCCATGCAATGGGCCCAGAAGCCCCACCCTGACATATCCTTAGTACCAGTCAGCAAGGAGGGAAATGAAGCCTTTTTATTAAGATTAACACCAAGGAAAGCATTGAGAAGGAATACATAAAGGAGGGGAAGGGCACACAAAGTCACCACTTCAGAAGGTAGGAGGGAGGCACATCAATTAAGGAACCTCAGGACAGCCACATGCTCCATGCCCTGGTTGGGTAAGGGACGCGGGGACTGGGTGGGGGGAAGTGCCATGACAGCTTAGGGCTCACAGAAGGTTCTGAAGCCCACTGAACCTAACACCAGAGCCAAAGCCCTGCCCCTCAGGGCTCACACACTACTACACAAGTGGACACGCATAACACACACAAGACGTAATGGAGGCAACACCGAGAGGCAACGGGCAGGGACATATTGACAGAAAAAGGAACTGAAGTGAAACAGGTGTAGCCAGTAGAGACAGTTTTTGGCTGCAGCCCCCAAGAGTCCCTCAAATGTCCCCTAAATTTGGGCTGTTGCTGAGCACCCCGAGTCTCTGCCTGTGAACTGGGCTCTTTGTTTTCTAAGCCCCAGTGTGTGGAAAAGCAATCCCAGATGAAGTCAGTTGAGTGGCAAGGCAGGGTCTGCTCTGCATGCAAAATTCTAGAGGTTGAGCTATTATGTCTTCATGCACATTCATAGCCAGCTCCTCCCAGCCCAGGGGCCCTTGGAACCCCATTCACCCAGATTCCTAGGGCTGCAGTTCCCTCCTCAAGCTTCCTTTACCAATCAGCAGCTGCAGGGATCTGTGAGGGGGAGAGGCTTCTGCAGAACACTGAATATCTTGGATTTCAGGAGAAGGGTAAATTTCCTGTTGCCAGAACAGAATGCCCCAATTCCTTAATTTCTAGGTAAAACATTAGAGATTATTTGCCATAGTCCTAGATAAGTCCTTTTTCACAATAGAAAAAGCAGAATTTTATTTACATAATTCAGGGGTTCTCCTGTTGCCTGGGGAGGGAGAATGGTCAGGGAAAGGGATGGATGAGAGTCCAGAGTCGGGCACTTCCTCTCCTGGGACCTCACCTTTCCGCAGTTTGCTAAACGCTTGGATGGGCAAAAAGAACTCTTGATGCTCCCAAAGTCATTCACCCTACGAATCGTTCCTTGAGGGAGTCTCTCTCTACCTGACCCACAAGAGCAGCTGTCCGAGTGAAGCATGCTGCACCGCGCTGTTCAGTCCCCTCGCGTCATGCACTGGGAAACCCAAAGCCAGCCCGGGAAGTTAGTGCCCCCTCAGAGTTCCCTCACAGGGAGGCCTCGCCCTCCAATTGCAGCAGGGTAATGTCAGGCAGGTCGAGGGGCTCCACAAGTGGCCCGTCCCCCCCAAGGAGACCTGCTCGGGGGCTCTCCGAGCGCTCACAGTGACTGGTGGGTGTGGCGGGGCTAGGCATCCCTTTCTCCTCCTCTTCGTCCTCGTCCTCCTCGTCCTCGGGATCTTGACCCAGCAAGCTGTTGTCCCCGATCCCAGGCGAAGGGGTCTCCGGCTCTTGGGGGACACCCTGGAAGCTCCCTTTGCCGCCGACCACGCCCAAGCCACCCTGGCGGGGCGCGGTGGTCATAATCTGGCACATGGAGACGATGGCCCGCTGGTTGGCGCACACGTCGTCCGAGAGCACCTGGATGTGCGAGGCCTGCTCGTCCAGAGCCCCTCGCATGGCCCTCACGTCCTCAAACAGGGCCTGCAGCTGGGCCTTCAGGTGCTCCATCAGCTCCTTCATGCCTCCGTTGTACTCCCCGGAGATCACGTCCCCCACGGCGGGCACGGTGGACACCTCAAGAGGCGCCGGCATGTCGCCGCCGTCCTTGGTCATGATCTCCAGCAGACCGTCCTCCATTGAGTGGCAGAAGCGGGCAGTGGCGGCTCTGGGTCGCGTCCAGCCCGGCCTCGGGGGGTGGAGGAGGGGCAAGAAGGGGGACAGGTCCCCGGAGAGGCGGGGAGGAGCTGATGGAAGAGGAAGCTCCCAAGAGGGGCGGGAGCCGAAGTGAGAAGAAGAGTCCGAGCAAGATAGAAAAAAAGGCGCGGGGAGGATACAGGAAAGCAGAGAAGAGTCGGTGGGACAAGGACGACCCAGTGAGGGTCCCAGGGTCAGCGTCTTCGGACTCGCCCCGGGACAAAGCGCCCTGCTCTACTTCACCTCTTGGAATGAGCCCCAGTAGGCGCTACCCTCGAGCCGAATGTCCGCGGGTTCCCTGGGTCACAGAAGCGCTCGCAGAACGGTGGGGGTGGAGTCTGAGACCGGTAGCACGTCCGACTCGGGACTCCCCCAGGCCATTAAAAGCAGCGACCGCGAGTGTAGCTAGAGCGGCAGGGGCGGGTCTCCAGGCGGCGCCGCGGATGCTCCTCCGTTTCCAAGGCGACGCACGGCACGTAAATGACGTGTGTCTCCATGGTAACCAGGAAGTGGAGAAGAAAAAGGGGAGGATGGTTGGGGAGCTGCAGTGAGGTTCTGTTGTCTGGAATAGCGGGTGGGGCCGGGACGCTGCAGTGGCCTCAGCCGGGAATAGAAAGAGCGTGTGGCTGCAATGTCTAATAGGAAATCATGAGAGAGCAGTTTGCTGCATAAACCCCCAAGCCCGGGAGAGTCTGTTCCTCCCTCGGTCTTGGGTATCAGACACTGAGAACGACTGCCTTGGAAAGATTTTCACCAGTTCCTTGCATTCCTTTCTCAGAGGATGGCTCTGGGACCGGGTCCTACTTCCTCGACCCCCAGCGGCCCACGGGAAACCGGAGAGGGAAGAGAGGCCGACGCCAAAAATTCTCAGACTTGAGTTGGGGCGCGGCGGTACCTGGGAGCTGGCCCCGCCGTGCCTGGCGGCGCAGAGACAAGGGGAGGGCACTACAGAGGTTTTTGCCTCTCCCTGGGGCTCCTGCAGTAAATCTGTCTTTTCACAACGGAAAGCAGATGAGCTGGGAAAGGACGGGATTCTCTGCCTTATGGGACTCAACTGCTTCTACCCAGGTTTCTGGGAGTTTGTCCAGGATGATGAGGCCAAGTGCTTAAATTTTGAGAATGAAAGCTCCATAAGGGCAGATATTCTTTTCTCCCCTGCATCCTCCTCCACGGAATTCCCAACCCTTAAAATAGCGTTTGGCACGTAGTAGTTAGTATGTGCTTAATGCGTTTGTTGAATGAATTCTTAAACAAGAACCACCAAATTCCATTCCCTCATCCAGACCACCCTAGGCCACATCAAGTAGGTTTTAAAAGACCCGAATTCAATTTCATTTTTCCAACTTGTTAATTCAGAGGCCTTGGCTAAATCCTTTTCCTGATCTGTTAGGAAATTGGACTGGACATTATTTCTAACTGAATAACACTCTTGCATCACATCATAACTGAAAGGGTAAACTGTTGACAAGTGTATGGGGGATGAATCAGAGGACTGTGTGTGAGGGACATCCCCCCAGTGCTCATGTTCAGATTCACTGAGTGTCCCCAACTTTTGTGACAACCAGAGAAGGAATAATTGGATTTAATATATTTACAAGTGACACTGATTGAAAAACGGTCATCCTGTAAACTATAGCAAACTAACTAAAACCAGTCTAGTAAATCAGAGAAGTCAAGTGTTAAGAAGACAAAAATGAAGTTCATGAGAACAAATAAATCTAGGGGGAAGAAATTATCATTTGAAGAGAAGAACTAAGTACGTGCATGTTTTTGTATACTAGTGGTTCAACAACATTGGTTGCATGCTCTGGGAATGAAGAGTGAGGCTGGCCCAGGGAAAAATTTTATAGCGTCAAAGAACTTTTTAGCCTTTGTCTGTCTTCTTTTGAAATAGAAGAAAATTGAGAATATCCTAAGTGTCCAATCAGCAGAGTGTTTAAATAATCTAAGGCATTGTTGATATAATAACGTATTATGCAGTTATTAAAAATTTGATTTCCAAAAAAAGTATGTAATCAAATTAAAAATCCCACACTGTTGTACTTTCTAAAACTAATGACTCAATCTTATTTGCTTTTGCATTTCTTCTTTCCTCTACAAACTTGTGGCACTCTCACCTAGATTATCATTCCTATCTCCACCATGTGCCCCACACATGGTTAATACAATTTAGATTATTCCTAAAGCACTGGCTCAGAAAAATGATGGAAATGCTTTTCCTTGATATCCCTAAGCATAGCCAAAGTAGGCTTATATTTACAAAAATACTTTATTTTAAAAAGCTATAGGAAAATTCGAAATAGAGGCAGGACACATAAAAACAACCGAACTTACACAACACAAGTTTCTGATCATATAACAGCAAACACAATTATAGCAAATACATTCCCAGGGCTTATAGGTTCAACCCTGGTGTTCATTATTCCCAGGAGAGCCCTGCTGTAGCAAGAAATGGTTGCCATGATTTTCAGGCTTTCTGCCTTGCTCCATTGTTTACATCTCGTGACTAGCTTCTCTCACTCTTTGGATGGTTCCTTCCTTTATCTATAAAGAGTAATCTTGTTCCCAGGGTAAGGCCTCCCAACTTCAAGATCCCCTAAGTTTACATTAACATAGCCCCCATACAGTAGGAGCTGGGTTATGCCATCATACAAGGCCCTTTGCCACTATTGTTGAGGATACCCTGTATGTCAAGGCATTCAGCATCAGATTACATCATGCTGCTCAGAGGTGCTGGCATGCAGTCCACAGAGAGTACAGGGGGTCTGAGCCCAAAGGGAGGGGAAATTATTGAAGAAGCACCAAAGACCATGGGAAACAGGTGCAGAGATCCAGGGGTGTGGTTGATGCAATCAAGTTCCAGGTCAGACATTTAAGAGGGTAGGTGAGAACGGGGGTGGGGAGGGCGCGCAGAGTGGACCAGTAGCAGGACTTCAAAATACAGGGAAGCGACATTGGTGCATCAGATTTAGAATCATAATCATTTCAGAATTTCTATGTGAAAATTAGACAAGGGAAAATAGGAGAACATTCTAGTCTCAGAAAAATAAGGGGGAGAGATGCAGAGGACAAGGGAAAACCTTCATCAGCTGACTGAGTTGCAGGACCAAGGCCTTGTTGTGCAGGTCCTGTCCCAAGCAAAAGGAGATTGTATGGATACCCCAGCTACCCTACTAGAGTATTCAGAGAAACTGCAACACAGAAATAGAATATAACCCCTACACACTCTTCTTCTTCCTGCTTTATCCTCTAAGAATCACCTTAGCTGTTCTGTTCCTTCTTCCTACTCACACTGATGAGCCAAGGGGAGAAGAGACCCCATGCTGCATACATATAGATTTCCATCAGATGATCCTATTACAAACATCACATTCTCACTAAAATAGGCCCTGCCATTTTCCCTCTCTCTTGTGTCTTATATATTTTATATGGTTAGTGTACTTTTTTCAAAATCAGACTGAAGATACTCACCTGTCTCAGATCTAGAACAGTAAGCTAAATCAAAGCACAGTTGACTGCTGCACCTTTGTCCAAACTCCCAGACAATATTTCCCAAATAGAACTTAAGCTGTGCTGCCTTGTGGCCCGATCTCAGCATCATATCATATTCAAAAGAAACACATCCAGTAGCCAAAAATAATTAAAAAGCAATTTCAATTTTTATTGCAGTCCCTAGGAAAACTCTAATTTGGTTTACATTCCCAGTACAGAGCAACACATCTTAAACTTTCCTCCTCCTTCTGTACTTATCTCACACATTGTGGTGTAGCTGTTGCTGCTGTTCTCTTTCTTCTCCCCAAACACCCCAAACTTTCTCTCAAGCTTAGCTGTTGTTTTCTTACTCTCCTCCCCTCTTCATTTTTTGTATGTATTCCCTTTCTCTCCTGCAGGAAGAAATTCCATGTCCTTCTAATATAAATCAGTTTCAGCTTGTTTCAGCTTCTTTGATTCTGTCCCTGATTCCCCTGATCTGTACAAGTACCAGGAGCCGCCGCTGTCAATTAAGGGGTCTTCTCAAATGGTGAAAAAGACTAGAGGCTGAGAACACTTAAATGTGGGGCTCATCTGTGACATAGACTAGATTATTTCAGCACCAGAGGGTGGTTTGCTTAATGTCATGGCCAGCCTACTTTGTTCATCTCCCCCATGCTTGCACAGAAATGGGCATGGTAGTTTACAAGGACTCTGGGCCTTCATGAGCCTCTAACTGAAGAGAGGGAATTCAACTCCCTATATCCTCAAAAGTCTTTAGTATCACAGACAAGGGTGACTCACCCACACCCCACTTAAGGCCCATCCTGAACTTTCAGTTGCTTGCTCTATGATCTCACACTATTTTTAGGAGTCTTTAGGGCCACACTCACCTCTTTCTTTTTCTTCCATATTAACTTTACTCAGAGCAGGAATTCAAGCGACCTTTCAACTTTTCATGCAGTCTGAATCTTCACTGAAAACAATGCCTCATTCCAAGTCAACCTGTATGGGGCTGAGTATATAGCTCATCGTAGAACACTTACCTAGCATATGCAAGGCCCTGTGTTCCATCCTCAGCACCAAAAAAGCAAAAACTTCTTTCCACGTAAACCTGTTTTGCCAGTGTCCACCCTATCTGCCCTTTCTGCACTTTATACTGCAACAGTTTCTCTTTTCAACACTCCTCCATTCCCAGGTGCATATTCAAACTTGTGTCCTCTGCCACTGTGACATAGCCCGTTCAATCCAAGTGTTAGTTAACCTCAGACACCAAAGTGTTCAGAGCTCAGGGGTCACCTATGATCCCTGCTATAGGGCCCCTGCACCTCACATCTTCTCCATATATTTTCTGACCCCAGAAAGTTGTCATTCTTGAAACAGCTCAGAGCCTAGTTTGCCCAAGTCAGAATCCTAATCAGGCATTGATAGTGCTATAACACCTGAAAATACCTACAATATCCAGCTTGATGAGAGCAATATTTCTTGAGAAATTGCTTCTCAAAATGTTTTAGTCCAACTTGGAGGAAATTATGCTCAACTATCTAGGATAGAGTAGAGACTGTGGTATGTATGCCATAAACTTCCTTTCCATTCAAGGAATTTTTAGAAGTTTAATATCCCTCAATGCTGACTTATGGAAACTTCCAGATCCCTTCTCATTTGTCATATCTCAAGGAAGTCTGTAGTATTCTATCCTTTAGGATTCATAGCAAAGTTTGTAGCTCTCACTTTTACTAACATATCTAGTCATGCTCTGTTCATCTTAAAGGCCCTAAAAATAGTATCAAAGTGGGTTTCTACCACTTCCCTTTTGCCTAATGGTGGTATCCCAAGGTCTAGCGAGGCACTGTCAGCTGAAGTTTACCAACTGCTTCAAGGGTGCACTGTTTCTATTCCACAAATGGCAACTACATTAGTGATAGACCCAACCTGATCTTTTCTTAA